GGTTTAGGATGTAGGGCTTCGGGCCGAGGACGTCGGGCTTCACCCTAAACCCTAAATCCTGAGCCCTAAACCCTAGCCCCAAAACCTCAAGCCCTAAACCCTAAACCCTAAGCCCCACCTTCTACCATATACACATTTCATCTGCATGTGCCCTCCCTCATTCCCTAAACCCTAAAACCCCAAACCCCTAAACCCCTAAACCCCTAAACCCCTAAACCCCTAAACCCCTAAACCTCTAAGCCCCTAAGCCCCTAAGCCCCTAAACCCCTAAACCCCTAAACCCCTAAACCCCTAAACCCCTAAACCCCTAAACCCCTAAACCCCTAAACCCCTAAACCCCCCTAAACCCCTAAACCCCTAAACCCCTAAACCCCTAAACCCCTAAACCCCTAAACCCCTAAACCCCTAAACCCCTAAACCCTAAACCCTAAACCCCTAAACCCCTAAACCCCTAAACCCCTAACCCCTAAGCCCCTAAACCCCTAAACCCCTAAACCCCTAAACCCCTAAACCCCTAAACCCCTAAACCCCTAAACCCCTAAACCCCTAAACCCCTAAACCCCTAAACCCCTAAACCCCTAAACCCGACTCGACTGAGGTGGCGAGGTCGCAAATGGCGACTTCCCCGTCGAGACGGTGAACATGATGCGCAGGTGAACTGAGCAGTTCGCAGCTTTAGACCCCTCAGGGTTTCGGGTTGAGGTTAACCCCTAAACCCTAAACCCTAAACCCTAAACCCTAAACCCTAAACCCTAAACCCTAAACCCTAAGCCCGAAACCCTAAACCCTAAACCCTAAACCCTCATCTGCGACTTGAAGCGGGTTGCTGCTGCTCCTTCGTCGTTGGGGGGGGGTGCGGCGCTGAGTTCAGGGTTCAGGATGCAGGGGGCAGCGCAGCGCCTCGTAAGGAATCGAGAACAGAATTTTGTTGAAAACCTAAACCCTAACCCTAAACCCTAAACCCTAAACCCTAAACCCTAAACCCTAAACCCTAAACCCTAAACCCTAAACCCTAAACCCTAAACCCTAAACCCTATGCCCCTCTTGTCCTTTATGTCAATTGCTGGCAGGATCATCGAGGAGGTCGAGCATGCCTTGCACTGAGAACTGCGTGTTTTGCTGCAGAGCGGCAGGCACTGTGACGACGCAGAAGCAACGCATGGGGCCCACCATCTGACAAACTGTCAGGCAAAGAGCGGCCCTCATGCAAAGATTAGGGTTTAGGGTTTAGGGTTTAGGGTTTAGGGTTTAGGGTTTAGGGTTTAGGGTTTAGGGTTTAGGGTTTAGGGTTTAGGGTGATTCAACCCCAAGACATTTGACTTTTCCCAAAATTACCCGTTAAAATCTTGCCTTTGGCAACCGTTGCAGACTCGAAGTTAGCAGTGCTGATGGCAATTTTCGCTGCACCGAGCCACACACGATCCCTGAGCCGGTTTTTGACCACCCTGCCGGCAGTTTCAGGGCTGAGCTGCCCAAACCCTGCAGAACCCGACGAGCACCCTGGACCCTCAGCCTCAAACAGCGTACGCTCAGAAGTGATGCAGGTTACATTGACCTGTAAACCTTAAACCCCAAACCCGAAACCCGAAACCCTAAACCCTAAACTTCTCGGGCCCACATACTACACGGCCTCTCGTCTGACCATGGCAACAAGCAGACTGTTACTTTGCGGCGGGAACCACCCAGTCAAGACCCACTAGACCCTAGACCCCAAACCCCAAACCCTAAACCCTAAACCTAAACCCTAAACCCTAAACCCTAAACCCTAAACCCTAAACCCTAAACCCTAAACCCTAAACCCTAAACCCTAAACCCTAAACCCTAACCCAAAACCCTAAACCCTAAACCCCAAACCCTAAACCCTAAGCCCTAAGCCCTAAACCCTAAACCCTAAACCCTAAACCCTAAACCCTAAACCCTAAACCCTAAACCTAAACCCTAAACCTTAAACCCTAGGAAGTTGTGCCAAGCAGGGCGAGCGGCAGTTCACAATCAGACTGGCCGGCCGATTACCGACCGAACCAGCGAGCAGTGAGTACCCAGAGCACCCAGCAACCTCTCAAGGAGTGGGGTAAACCCTAAACCCTAAACCCTACACCCTAAACCCTACACCCTAAACCCTAAACCCTGAACCCTAGACCCTAGACCCTAAACCCCTATTGAGCTCCCCAGTTTCAACTAAGCGTGTTCCTTTAGTCTCAAGGAGGGTTGGGCTCCCTGGGTCGCTTTTCGAAGCCACCTCTGTGTCGCCGTCTCGGAGACAAAAAGGCGCAAGTTTAGGGTTTGGGGTTTGGGGTTTAGGGATTAGGGTTTAGGGTTCGGGGTTTAGGGTTTAGGGTTCGGGGTTTAGGGTTTAGGGTTCGGGGTTTAGGGTTCAGGGTTTAGGGTTTGGGGTTTGGGGTTTAGGGGCCCAGGGTGCCCAAAGTCCGTGAGCATTTACACGCAAAAAGTCTTCCCTCAACAAGTCGGCGCCCTGTCTCCCCAAGGCCTGCTCTTCACTGCCAAGGGGTTTAGGGTTTAGGGTTTGGGGTTTAGGGTTTAGGGTCTAGGGATCGCAGGTTAGGGTCCCTAATCCCTAAGCACCCGCTGAAGGCCTTACCGGAGGGAGTCTTACTTTGTGGTGCTTTACCGTAACTTTAGATCCTGAGCCTTTTTGGGTTTATTGGGTTTCTTGTTAAGGCAGCCTAAACCCTAAACCCTAAACCCTAAACCCTAAACCCTAAACCCTAAACCCTAAACCCTAAACCCTAAACCCTAAACCCTAAACCCTAAACCCTAAACCCTAAACCCTAAACCCTAAACCCTAAACCCTAAACCCTAAACCTAACCCTAAACCCTAAACCCTAAACCCTAAACCCTAAACCCTAAACCCTAAACCCTAAACCCTAAACCCTAAACCCTAAACCCTAAACCCTAAACCCTAAACCCAAAACCCTAAACCCTAAACCCTAACCCCTAAACCTAAACCCTAAACCCTAAACCCTAAACCCTAAACCCTAAACCCTAAACCCTAAACCCTAAACCCTAAACCCCAAACCCTAAACCCTAAACCCTAAACCCTCCCAAGTGCAGCCAAGATTAAAACTGCGTGGCCGGCGGCTGAGGCGGCGCCCTTGTGCGGCGTGCCGCCGCTGCTGCTGGTGAAGCGTGATCTGATCTCATGGTTGAGGTTGAGGGTTCAGGGTTTAGGGTTCAGGGTTTAGGGTTTAGGGTTTGGGGTTTAGTGTTTAGGGTTTAGGGTTTTGGATTTAGGGTTTAGGGAAATTGCGCTTTGTTTTTAGAAGGTTTCTGTTAGGCCACTCTAGGACGCAAGGGTTTCGAGTACTTCTTTGTGGCACCTTCTGCCAGAATCGGCTTATTTTCCAGCAAACCTGCAGACTCTTAGTGAGCACCTGTACCCTAAACCCTAAACCCTAAACCCTAAACCCGAAACCCGAAACCCTAAACCCTAAACCCTGAACCCTAAACCCTAAACCGGAAACCCTGAACCCAAAACCCTGACACTAGGGTGTCACCATTAGGCGATGACGTGTTTCGCCATGCTTGGAGATTCGTGGGCAGTTGTCAAGTACTCCGCCCAAACCCTAGAGGTTCATGGGTACTTAGAACCCCAATTATAGTTGCACTTGAAAGCCCCTGAGTCCCCGATGTAGGTTGTAAATAGACTTATAGCTTGGGTTGTAAGAACCCATGAACCCCAAGCAATATGAGCGCTACCCCCTCATATTAATTCCTCCCATTAGAGTTATATGACGGCGTACGGGGAAGATTGAGGGTGTAGGGGGGGATCTTTAATATCAGGGGCAAGGGAGTAGGGTTGTAAGTGGGAGAACTATAGTTAACCCTTCAAATTGCCTCGATCAGGGTAGTTACTTCTATCCATTCTATCCCTACTGGGAATTGCCCATGAAGCTTCCAGTACTGCACCGTCCCAAAGCCTGGAATAGGTAGGCCTGGGGATATTTGTTTTTGCCCCGGGTTTCGGAGGCTCGTGGCCAGACTAGTCCCCTAACCCTAACCGTAAACCTTCAACCCTAAACCCCAACCCCTAAGCCCTCCCCAATCTCCTAAACGCAAGGCGGGAAGCCTCAAATTCCTACACCCTAAATTAATATTACTATTATGTATAAGCTAGCAGCACCATCATTATTGGTCTTGTTTTTAAGACTGTAAACAAGACTAGTATTCTATATACATATACATACGTATCAGATAGCATCGGCAAGAAACCCATACAAGCCCGAAACCCCATCCGACTGACATTGCGCGGATCGCCAGTGGAAAGAGAACAGAAGGGTGGGCGGGGGTGTCCGGCTTGAGGGTCTTTAGGGTTTAGGGTTTAGGGTTTCGGGTTTCGGGTTTGGGGTTTGGGGTTTCGGGTTTACTGATGGCCTCTGGGGCTTCAGGGCTTTAGGGCTTTAGGGTCTTTAGGGCTTTAGGGGCTTCAGGGTTCTCTCGGAGGAATTTTGGGGGCGCAGAGTGACAGGGCTTTTCTGGCTTAGGGTTTAGGGTTGAGGGTTTAGGGTTTAGGGTTATCTTTAAGGTTATCTTTACACAGACTTGCTAGCCCCACCCCACCCCCCGCGGAACCAGCCCGGAAGAGTTCTTTAGCTACGCGCCCCCCCACACTTTTGGTTTCGGTGTCTTTTCTTTTATTCTGTAATTTTGCTTCTTCCAAAGGAAATGACGGGCATTGGGCCTAGGCCACGAAAACCCAGAGATCAACTCGAAGCCTCTGCATGCCCTGACTTCTCCAACCCTAAACCCTAAGCCCTCAGCCCTAAATCGACACCTCAGGGTTAATTTGGAGATACCTGAAAACCCCGAAAACGCAAGAAACCCTAAACCCTAAACCCTAAACCCTAAACCCTAAACCCTAAACCCTAAACCCTAAACCCTAAACCCTAAACCCTAAACCCTAAACCCTAAACCCTAAAACCCCTAAAGTTCCCTAAGCCCTGAACCCTAAACCTTACAAGTCCTAAGCCCTAATATGGCAGGTCGTCTTGGACTCCCAGCCCGTGGTGCTGCAGAGCACCACCGAGATCGTTGGTGCGCCTTCGTAGCTGGGCATCAGGGTGCACAGAGTTCGTGGTTCAAGGTTTAGGGTTTAGGGTTTAGGGTGCAGGGTTTAGGGTTTGGGGTTTACTGTGTAGGGTTTGGGGGTGTGGGTTTGGGGTTAGGATGTAGGGTCTAGTCGGGGTTTAGGGTGATGAAACAGGCTCAGGCCGAAGGGGCCAAATCTTGACAGATCTGGGCTCTTTCGCCCTGGCTAGCTGCCCGGTGTTCTTTGCCAGGCCCCGTCCCACTTTAGGTCCCTAGTAGAATACGGCACCAAATATTTAGGGTACCCCAAAAGGGACGATCATTTTGACACCCTAAACTCCTAAACTCCTAAGCTCCTAAACTCCTAAACTCCTAAGCTCCTAAACTCCTAAGCTCCTGAACTCCTAAACTCCTAAACTCCTAAACTCCTAAACTCCTAAACTCCTAAACTCCTAAACTCCTAAACTCCTAAACTCCTAAACTCCTAAACTCCTAAACTCCTAAACTCCTAAACCCCAAACCGCTCATGTGCCGCAGGGAACTTCGCCCCGGTCGACGACTTCGAGAAGGAGTTGGAGGCCGTCACGCGCGCTGCAGGCGTGGCAGCCAAGCCGGAGAGAGAACACAAGGTTGAGGGTTCAGGGTTTGGGGTTTAGGGTTTAGGGTTTTGGGTTCAGGACGTAGGGGGTTTAAGGTTTTATCTTTTTGTTGTTTTATTGTTTCAGGGTTTTTGGGCTTAGGGTTTAGTGTTTTGGGGTTTAGGGTTCGGGAGGGTACCCCAACATCTCAGTGTATGGAGCTGCTCACGTTTTGTTGCAGCTTGTTGTCCGTTTGTTGTTCCGGTTCGTTCTTTCTGGAAACGCTTCACTCAAGCATAAACCATATACTCCTAAACCCTAAACCCTGAACTCTAGCTGACAGGATGAGGACGGTCAGGTGCGCGACCCCAACCTCGGACGCCGAAATCCTTACAAAACCCTTCAGCTACTCTAAGCCTAAGCCCTTCAGTCCCTTGATCCCTAAACCCTATCCCCTCAATCCTAAACCCTAAATCCTAAACCCAAAACCCTAAAAACCCTAAAGCCCTAAACCTTCCCTAAATCCCTAATCAAGCCCATGCCCTAAACCCTGTACGCTAAACCCTGTACCCTAAGCCCTAAGCCCTAAGCCCTAAGCCCTAAACCCTAAACCCTAAACCCTAAACCCTAAACCCTAAACTCTAAACCCTATAACTTCACAATCGGGAGCCCCGCGCGACTTTCCTCCAGGCGCTGGCGAGGAGGACCTTCGCGGTGCCAAGGTCCCAGGGAGGTTGCGCCTAGGGTTCAGGGTTGAAGGTTTGGCTTTGGTTTCGGGTTTAGGGTTTAGGGTTTAGGGTTAAGGGTGTAGGGTTTAGGGTCTAGGGTTTAGGGTTTAGGGTTTAGGGTTTAGGAGGGTTTAGGGTTCAGGGTTCAGAGCTTAAAGGGTTTTTCTTCTTGGAGGTTCATGACTGCTCTCCACACATAGCTGTATCTACTTATAAGGCCCCGAAGTCCCATAAGTAGAAGTAGTCTGGGGATTCGGGTTCAGGCGTAGGGTGTGAGCTTAGCGTGTAGCCATGGAGGGGGGGGGGTGGGGCGGGTGTGACTTGGTTCATTCGCTTCGGGGCTCAGGGTTTAGGGTTTAGGGTTTAGGGTTTAGGGTTTAGGGTTTAGGGTTTAGGAGGGTTTAGGGGGGTTTTAGGGTTTAGGGTTTCGGGCTTTTTGTTGAGGGCTTCGGGCTTATGGCCTGGGGGGACGCTGTGGTCGTAAACGTCAAGCCCTGGATGTTAAACTCCGAGCTCCCAGTCCTCAAGCCCCACAAAAACGATCATAATCCGTGAAAATCAAAGCCTTCACTGCCCCAAGAGAGGGTTTAGGGTTTAGGGTTTAGGGTTGCGGGTTAGGGTTTCGGGTTAGGGTTTCGGGTGTAGGGTTTAGGGTTTAGGGTTTAGGGTTTAGGGTTTAGGGTTTAGGGTAACCCTGAACCAAGTTGCCGGCCAGGTCTTGCCCATGAACCCCAGGATACGGGAGGAGCAGCAGACGCGGCAGGCGTGGCCATGCGCCCTTCGATAAAGAGTCGCAGTTGAGGGACTACCCTAAACCCTAAACCCTAAACCCTAAACCCTAAACCCTAAACCCTAAGCCCTAAGGCCTAAACCCTAAACCCTAAGCTAAACCCTAAACCCCAAACCCTAAGCCCTAAGCCCTAAGGCCTAAACCCTAAACCCCAAGCCCTAAACCCCAAACCCTAAATCCGCTCTTACCCCCACTCCCCAAGAACCTTGAAGTAAGCCCCCAAAAGCCCTTTCCTCACCGCCAGGTCGCCCGGCTGAAGGCACGGTCAGCAGGGGTGGGTTGGGGAAAACCCTCAAGCCTCAACCCTAAACCCTAACCCTAGCCCTAAACCCTGAACCCTGAACCCTAAACCCTAAACCCTACACCCTGAAACCTAGGCCCTAAACCCTCCCAAATCCTGAGATCGTCAGAGCCCTGAGTTCCTAAGCCTTAGAACAGCTCCCTTCCTTGTGAGAATGCAAGTTGCAGTTCTGCGGCAGCGGGGGTTAGGGTGGTTTAGGGTGTAGGTTTTAGGGTTTAGGGCTGAGGGTTAGGGTTTAGGGCCGCAAACAATGGTATGCTTTTTGACCCCTAAAGACGGACAGAAATAAGGCGAATGAAAAGGCCCATTCCTAAATATTCAGAGGCTACTCAGCTACCGTGCTCCTTGGTCTGCGTGCCCTCGAGGCACTGATGCTCCGGGAACAGCAGACGAAGCGCAGGGTCAACAAGATCAAGTCCAAGACGTGCTCCCGACAACCCCAGAGCCCCTAGTCCGTAGCCGAGAGACCCTGAACCCTGAACCCTGAACCCTAAACCCTCAACCCTAAGCCCTAAACCCTAAACCCTAAGCCCCTAAGCCCTAAACCCTGACTCCTTGCTCAGGGGGATGGTGTAGCCTGTGCTGCTCTGGAGAGTATTCTTCGGTGACAGCCGCAGTTGGACATGAGAAACATGACGATCGCCCTGCAATGGGTAGGCCAGGGTTTCAGGTAGGAGGAGGGAGGAGCAGGTAGGAGGAGGGAGGAGGAGGGAGGAGGAGGGGGGGTAACTCTAAACCCTGACTAAACCCTAACTAAAAAACCCAAAACCCTAGGGAGCAAACCCCAAACAGCGGGAGGAGGGGGAGGAGGAGGAGGAGGAAGAGGAAGTTGTGGATGAAGACGCAGATCAACAGTCACCCAAAACAAGCCAGACCTCGAAACCCTACGCCCCAAACCCAAACACTGTCAACCCCTTTTTCAAGCCTTAACCCCTCACCTCCTAAACCCCAAACCCTAAACCCTAAGCCCTAAACCCTCAACCCCAAAACCCTAAATCCTAAAAATAGACTCTGGACCCTAAACCCTAAACCCTAAACCCTAAACCCTAAACCCTAAACCCTGAACCCTAAACACTAAACCCTAAACCCTAAACCCTAAACCCCTAACCCCTAACCCCTAAACCCGCAACCCACGAAGAGGTACCGCCGCATCCACCGCAAGTCCGAGGCGAAAGATCGGGAGGCGGCCACCTTCGGGATCCAGTTGGGAAGTTTGGGGCTAGGGTTTAGGGTTTAGGGTTTAGGATTAGGGTTTAGGGTTTGGGGTTTGGGGTTTAGGGCTTCGAGTCGAGGGTTTAGGGTTAGGTTCTAGGGTCTAGGGTCTAGAGGTTAGGGTTTAGGGTTTTGGTGCGCTTCAATTTTTTTCCCACCCTCGGTGTGGAGTTGTTAGATTTTAAACTCAACTCTTCTCCCGGCCCGGAACTCTTCTCCTCGCCCGGTCTACTCCTCGCTCATCCCTGGAGTGCCCAATCCCAGAGTGTCCCTGGATTGCCCAACCCCAGTGTCTACCCAGAGAGGATGGGGATGTCCGAAGTAAAATGATCTGTTTGTGAGTGTTGTTAAGGGTTTAGGGTTCAGGCTTAAAAGTCCTTCCTGACAGCCCTTGTTCTCTTGTCATCCAGGATTTTTGGCAATCCAGTCCATGAGCCGTGCAAACTAACCTTCTAAACCCTTGAGGCATGACAACCAAACCATCCTAAACCCCAAGCCTCAAACTGCTAAGTTCCAAACCCTAAACCCCAAACCCCTAAACCCTAAACCTTAAACCCTAAACCCCTGAAACCCCTGAAATCCCTGAAACCCCTAACGCCTCAAGCCGTTTCCAGGTCCTCCTCCAGCGCCTGGAGCTGGAGAACCCAGAGCTGGCGCAGCAGCTGAAGCAGGAGTAGGGTTGAGGGTTTAGGGTTTAGGGTTTAGGGTTGAGGGTTGAGGGTTTAGGGTTTAGGGTTTAGGGTTGAGGGTTGAGGGTTTAGGGTTTAGGCTCCTTCTGCTTCAACGTTTCAGCCGCGCTCCTGCACTCCTGCCGAAGCGACATGTCACCTGGGGTTCAGAGTGTAGGGTTTAGTGTTCCAAGAGGCTCGGAAGGTTTTGGGTTCAGAGTTTAGGGTTTAGGGTGAACCCCCTCGTCTTAAGCCCTCAATTAACCCCTAAAACCTTTGACCCTCTAGACCCTAACCGCAATCTTATATCCCGAAAACATTGAACCCAACCCTCCACCCCAACTTCTAGACCCTAAACCCTAAACTGGGCGGTGCCTGGGGCGGGGCCACCCGAAACCCTAAAGTTCTAGACCCTAAACTCTAAGACCCTAAACCCTAAACCCTAAACCCTAAACCCTAAACTCTAAGACCCTAAACCCTAAACCCTAAACCCTAAACCCTAAACCCTAAACCCTAAACCCTAAACCCTAAACCCTAAACCTTAGGCTCTAGACCCTAACCGCAACCAAAGCCACGCTTCGGCCCATGGCCCTGGGCAGCTCGGAGAGCTTCTGTGTGCAAGGCCGAGACTTCCGCGTGTCTCGCGGCTGCACGTTTTTGGGATTTGGGATTTAGGGTTTAGGGTTTAGGGTTTAGGGTTTAGGGTTCAGGGCTTGGGTTTAGGGTTTAGGGTTCAGGGCTTGGGTTTAGGGTTTAGGGTTTAGGGTTTAGGCTTTAGGGTTTAGGGTTTAGGGTCTATAGGGTCTAGCGTTGAGGGTTCAAGGCGGGGTTGGTTCCGAGTTGTCATCTTGGCATTATTCTTTGGAAAGCTTGAAGCATCGTCGTCCTGCAAGCCTATCCTAATTGAGCCCTGTGCCACCAGCAGTCAAAGCCCCACAAGCCCTCAAGACTAGCGCTACCTAGAGGCACTCATATTTCCGGAAGCCCTAAACCCTAAACCCTAAACCCGAAGCAACCCCTAACCCCTAACCCCTAACCCCTAACCCCTAACCCCAAACCCCTAACCCCTAACCCCCAACCCCTAAACCCTAAACCCCAAACCCCTAAACCCTAAACCCTAAACCCCAAGCCCCCGAAGCCCTGAAGCAGTCCAACTCCCCCTCGCAGTCCTCGCGAGCACCTGACCGGGCCGGCGGCCGATCTGCCGGCGAGGCGGTTGGCGCTGGCAGACCGGGACCCGTCCTTCTTCCAGGCGTTTTTTTTTTTTTTTTTTATTTTTTTTTTTGTGTGGGCGCTGGGGTTTTAGGGTTTAGGGTTTAGGGCTAGGGTTTAGGGTTTAGGAATGTTAGGGTTGGCTTAGGGTTTTGTCGTGTTCGAATGGGGTTTTCGAGGGTTGGCTAAGGTTTAGAGGGGCTTCATGAGGTTTATAGGTGGCACAGAGTAGTAGCAAGAAGCCCCAATCCCCAAACCCGAAACCAAAAAACGCCCAAGCCCTACACCCCCTAAAACCCCAAGCCCGAAACCCTAAACCCTCAACCTCAATCCCAAACCCTACCACACTGTACTTCTTGGGAGGTGGCTTGTGTGGGCTGAAGGGGGGCTTCCTGGCTTAAGCCGAGTTTGGGTTGGTGCTGCTCCTACTAGGCGCTAATTCTGAGGTCTGGGGTTAAGGGTTTAAGGTTGGAGGTTTAGAGTTTGGAGTTTAGGGCTTAGGGTTTAGGGTAAATAGATTTTCCGAATGGTTTTGGGTTGTTCAAGGTTCAGTCAGGTTTCAGGGTTTAAGGTTCTGAGGCCTGGGGTTCCCAAAGGCCTCTATGATAGCCGATTGCGCGGGTCAGCCATGATTCAGACCAGCCGCCGACACGAAGTTTGCCTCCATAGGATCTCCAAAGCAGGGTTGGGACGGAGGCTCCTCGCCTGCTTTAAAGACGGTGCCCTCAAGAAAGGACCCACATGTAGCGACCCCCACACGAAAAGGAACGGGAGGTGGGTGTTCACTTGTTGGTGCATCCTCGTGCAGAGTGAGCCTGACCAACTTGAAGCTATCCCTGAAGGAGCTCAGCCTGGTCAAGCCCAAGCCGCAAACCCCAAGACCAAAGCCCAAAGGAAACCCCAAACCCCAAGACCTCAACACCCAAAAAACCCGAAACCCAAACCCTAAAGCTTAAACCCTAAAGCTTAAACCCTGAACCTCAAACCTGAAGCCCTAAACTATGAGCCCTGAGGCTAAACCCTAAACCCGAAAACCTAAACCCTGAACCCTGAACCCTGAACCCTAAACCCCAAACCCCAAACCCCAAACCCCAAACCCTAAACCCTAAACCCTAAACCCTAAAACCGCACCGCGCCAGGTGCTCTGCGATTTCCTGGCCTGGCGCGCCGGCGCCGAGCCGCTGCTGGGAGTCCTCCAGCCCCCTGGGGCTGCAGTCTGGGGTTTAGGGTTTAGGGTTTGGGGTTTGGGGTTTGGGGTCTAGGGTTCAGGGTTCAGGGTTTAGGGTTGAGGGTTTAGGGTTTTAGGGTTTTAGGGTTTAGGGGTTTCGGCTCTTGGGACGCCTTGGGAGTTTTAAGCTCAGGGATGTTAGAGTTGCAGGGAATTGGGGCCGAGCGGTTGCGAGCTTCCAGTCTGTGTTCGTGCCATAAGATAAGACCGTGAACCCTGAAACCTAAATCCAAAAACACCGTAAACCTTAATCCTTAAACCCTATTGACCTGACACCTTAAACCCCAAAACCCTAAACCTTGAACCTTAAACCCTAAGCCTTAAACCTTAAACCCTAAACCTTAAACCCTAACACCGAGGTGCACCGCCCCAGATGCTGCAAAGCACGGCGTGAAATTCAGGCTTCGGCCTAGAAAGTGCTTCAGGGCCTAGGTCGGTTGTCAGTAGACATATAACAGGGTTACGAGTACCCATGAACCTCCAAGTAGAGAGGAGGGGGGGTGGGGTCATTAAACCCTCAACCCGAAACCCCAAACCATAAACCCTAAACCCTAAACCCGAAACCCTAGACCCTAAACCCTAAACCCTAAACCCGAAACCCTAAACCCTAAACCCTAAACCCTAAACCCTAAACTTCGCTGGGCTCTTGGGTCTGGGCTTTGCTGCTTCAAGGCCTGTGGGCTTGAGGGTTTAAGGATTCTGGGCTCCATTCTGGACTAGGGTTTAGGGTTTAGGGTTTAGGGTTTAGGGTTTAGGGTTTAGGGTTTAGGGTTTTGGGTTTTGGGTTTTGGGGGTTTAGGGCTTTCGGGCTTTTGGGGTTCAGGGGTTTAGGGGTTTAGGGGTTTAGGGGCTTAGGGCTTAGTGATTCGGGGCTCCATTCTGGATTGCAGCTTTTCTTGTTGCAGCCTAATTTGTCCTTTACCCGGTCGCCCGCTGAGATTCTGTGACGCCCACATGGGTTGTCTTGCGAAACAAGGGACCCTTAATACCGTCCCCCAAATAATAGGACTCCCTATATAATAAGGACCCCAATAAGGTACCCCTAATTTCGGAATATATAATCGGAATATATAATAAGGCCCCAATAAGGTTCCCCTAATTTCGGAAACCCACGCCTTGCCCAACCCAAGGCATTCCAAGCTTCGGGGCTTAGCCTTGGTACATCATCCCTCTTGGTCTGGCATCAGAGCATTCAGTTTACATGATAGTAACTGCACTTATAGCCCAATTATAACCATACTAGGGTAGCTAAGGGAGGTTATAGGTGGGTTATACACAGCATTCTTCCGTAGAGCAAGCTATGTCGGAGCAAGTGGTGTGCAGCATGTGTGGCAGTGCAGTGTGCAGCAAGTGTTGGGGGTGCATCATGAGAGCAACTGCCGTCCATATACACATAAAGTGCCACTCATCCCCCTCCACTTTCTCCTCTTCTGCAAAAACCTCTACTCTAATTTCGTGCTGTGCCAGAGCAAGTACAAGATCGATGGCACGCACAAAAACCCTAAACCCTAAGCCCTAAACCCTAAACCCTAAACCCTAACCCTAAACCCTAAACCCTAAACCCTAAACCCTAAACCCTAAGCAATTGTGCGCGCGTGCGAGCTGGGCCTCCTGCAGGGTGGCGAGTGGCGCCACAGCGGAGGCTGCGGCGGAAGCCGCGGGCCTCCTTCGCGTGGAGGCGGGGTGGAGGTTCGTGGTACTTATGAACCAATGATAACTGTGTATAACCCACTTATAACCTCCCTTAGTTACCCTAATATGGCTCTAGTTGGGCTATAAGTACTGTGTATAACCCACTTACAACCTCCCTTTGTTACCCTAGTATGGCTCTATAACGCACTTATAACCTCCCTTTGTTACCCTAGTATGGCTCTAATTGTGCTAGTACTGTGTATAACCCACTTATAACCTGCCTTTGTTACCCTAGTATGGTTAGAATTGGGCTATAAGTGCAGTTACTATCTGGTTCGGAAGTACCATGAACCTCCAAGGGGTGTCGGGGGAACTGCGGAGGTTTTCAGTGAACCAGTGTGGCGACGGGCGCGGCCTGAAGGTCTTGCGGCAGGTGTTTCAGTTAAGTAGGTTCAGTAGGTTCAGTAGGTTCTGTATGGGCTAGAAGGGGATGCTGTGGTAGTTAATGAGGCTCCCTACATGCATGTTGGGTGTACTTGGAGGTTCATGGTACTTACTAACAATTATAACTGTACTTAGAACCCTACTTATAATACCCCTAAAGGGCCCTTATAGGGGTTATCCCACTTATAAGTAGGGTTACAAGTACAGTGATAATTGGTTAGTAAGTACCATGGACCTTCAAGTAGGATGGCAGGCCGACCAGCCCCTCACAGAGATCGTCTACACCCTGCCGGGGGAGGAGGGGGCTCCCTGCCCCATCCAAGCAGCGGCTTGCCTGCCCAAATCGTTTCCCTGAATACTAGCCTAAACCCTGAACCCTGAACCCTAAACCCTAAACCCCAAACCCTAAACCCTAAACCCTAAAACCCTAAAACCCTAAAACCCTAAAACCCTAAAACCCTAAAACCCTAAAACCCTAAAACCCTAA